CACAACTGCTGCGTTACACCTGTACAAGAGAGTAATCATGGACCAATATGCCCTATCAAGGCATTGTCCATCAAGGACATTTTTCTGAGGCGGATATGATTGCTAATAGCTTCCATCCAACGACTTATCAAAGAGAAAGTGGTTACAACATGATTAAGCAAATGTGTGAATGTGAAACTAGGTCACTTCTTTAAAGTAATACCATCATGCTAGATATGAGGTTTTATTGGTAATAAACCTGGATTTGGATTGTTTCGGACTTTCGTGGTAGCATCTAACATAAATGTTAGTGTTATATATATATATATATATATATATATATATATATATATTGTGTGTCTGTGTATGTTTATGTAGTTATAAGCTATTTGTTGATTGACTTTTTTCTGTCAAGAAATAAAGAAATGCTGGTTGTTGACTAGCATGGCTGGTTGATCTGGAAAGTGATCTGCCAGTTAAGTCACCAGTTCAGCGGCGTCCAAACACAACATATGCTGCTGACAGCAAGAAGGGAGGACTTTCACGGCTTTAGAACATATAGACTGAAAACAAGTGGTGAGTCATAGGTGTGTGTCTGAATATATACAAGCACACATTGTATGAGTCATACGCATCCAATAATAATGTGTGAGAATGATGTTTTTCTTCTTTTGCGGGTGGTGTTCAGGGCATAAACTTGACAGTATCAAAATGTCCAATTTGAAATATAGCCTCACCTAACTGAGCTGAGTCATCCTCCACCAACACTGATAAATCTGTGCAATGAACCTGCTGTAAAAGTTGCAATGTCCTCGCTTTTTCCCAGAAATGGCACAATAGCAGCAATCACTTATGATTTAATGATTCTGAGGATGTAAAATGTAAGTCAGAGCCAAGAGTGTGAAGCTTAGAAATGCTCATAAATTTCATTCTCAGAATGTTATGTAACCCAACTTTTCAATGTGAATGAAGATATATGCTATCACGCCATGGACTTGCTGTGCAACCAACAAAGCAGTAACCACCGTCAATCCACCCCCACAGTAAGCTTGTAAACAAAACATGAGCTCATGCCTTACAAGCTGCAAAATGTGTTCTTACACAAATGTCAGACAATATCTGCAGTCATTATATATCTGTAAGGAGTTCATATTTCATAAATAGGTTATATATATTTAGTGTTGTATATATAACACTAAGTAATATATATATATATATATAACCTATTTATGAAGTATGAATTCCTTACACAACGTTATATATTGACTGATATATGTTTATATATACATACACACACACACACACACACACACACGTGTGTGTATGTGTATATATCAGCATATATAATAATAATAAATATAGAGGCTTGATCAGCATGTTTCAGCTTTGACTACAGTTGTAGTTTTTTATATGGTAGTGTGTGTGTGTGTGGGGGGGGGTAACATAGATGTATTATACGTCAACAAACAATATATATTTTGAATATAGGCATACATATATTAGACACATATACAGTCAATACATCTCTGTTCCATATATAGCTCGACATACAGTCAACCGGCTGATCTAAGATCAGACATGCAATTACTGCCCTCCACTGGTCAAATAGCTAAATGCGATTAAAAACAAATGTCTGATACCTGCGATGGCAGCCCCTGTATCTGCTTTGTGACACAATGCATGCATGAGGTTTTTATCTGTCTGTGTGTGTGTGCGTGTGTGTGTGTGTGTGTGTGTGTGTGATTCTCGCTATTTAAGGTAGTAAGCTATATTTTAATATTGTTTTATGTATGTAACCATGTCATATCATCACATATTGACCGTGCTGAGTGGCTGGGGAAGGGCTTATTTGAGAAATGGAAAGTTGTGGTAAGGTGCAGGAAGCGCATGCGTGGGTGTTTGAAGCGGAGGACAGTTCTCAAGGTCCCAAGGCCACGATATTTATAACTCAGCTTGTTCACCCTTGCTCTAGCTTGCTTTCTCTTGCCTTATAGATGAAGGAACGTCTTTATCCAGGTCACTGCACAATTCTGAGAGAAGTTATTTTTAACTTGGCGTTCTTGCATGAGCAGATAAGGTGCTGTGCATTTTGCTTGAGTAAATTGGGTCTACCACAAATGCTGATTTGCAATTTTTCCATGACCACGAGAAACCTGATATAGGGGTGTGTTTTAATTATAAGTATTGTAATTCACTGTATGTTTGCGATATTTTCGTTTCAATATAATGTGTAAAAAAAAATGCGGTAGGGTTGCCATCTGATTCAGGATTCATCCCTAGGTAGCCTAAAATGCGTCCCATATCAAATCCAAACGGGACGGGACCTCTTTTAATGTCTATGGGCGGGACGCAATTTGTCCAGTATTTTACATAGGCCTACGTGTAGTTGAATAAAAACACAAGGATTTTGCAGTGTTAATAGCAAATATAAAGAAATCAATTTCACAATAAGTAGGCTAGTGGAAAAGCCACTGATCTATCAGTGGGAAAAGCTCATTTTCGCGTGATTGCATTTTTGCGGCTTTGTTTCCATAGCGACGGAGTCTCTTGAACATGCGCGGTTTTTTAATTCCTAGTTGAGCGTTGTTCGGGGTCTTTTTGACCTCAAATGACGTTTGCTGGAAAAAAAAAAAAAAAAAAAAAACTTGTCATTGTCCAAATGGTATGAGACCCTTTGCAGTTGTCAACACTTTCTAGATCTACAAAAATAATAATTTGAATGAGGTCTGTTTTTTTTGTAAGTGTGTGTGTGTGTGTGTGTGTGTGTGTGTGTGTGTGTGTGTGTGTGTGTGTGTGTGTGTGTGTGTGTGTGTGTTTTGGGGGAGGGTGGGGGGGGGGTGGCGGCTGTCGGGTCACACTGTGTTTGGGGTCTAGGACCCCAGGCAACAAAATGTAATATATATTTTTTGTTTAACAAATGTAATTGTACTCAGTTTATTAATGTGTTTACTCCACATTTTAAATGTATACAAATAAAATGTATAACAAAAAATGTATAATGTATAATCCATGTATAAACATGGATAATTTGACATGGTTTAGTGTACGATTTTTGCCCAACTTTTGGAAAATGGCGTTTTAAAAGTAAAACATTATAATTTCAACCAGATGCTGAAAGACATCTTTTTTTTTTTTTTTTTTTTTTTTACAAGTTTTTCTTGTTGGATTCATATTTACATATTATGAAATCCCAATTATAACAATAAAAAAATACTTTTTGTCAAAGTTTAGCATTTTCTTGTGCTGAAAAAATAATATTGTTTTTCAATAATAATCATTAGGCTTAGGCTACGATTAGAATCAACTGAATTTTGTCTTCTCAAAATCAGAAACAACACAGAACACACATAAAAGCGAAACACTTTAAATTTGTAGAATTGTATGAAAAACAGATGTTTGAAATAAATGATAAACAGTAAAGACTCCAACTTTCCTCTTTGTAAGACTTTGTTCAAATTTGACTCAAACAAGGGGGAGGAGTTTGGAATTGGGAGCGTGAATGTCCCGTTCGAGGGCAGGGGGTCCCCGGTAAAAAAAAGAAAGAAAAAAACGTGTTCCATTGGGACTTAAAATACCACGGCAACAGTGTAAAAGTAGCCCAATTTCGTGTGAAAATTTAAAAAGTAGCCTAGGCTACTAATAATAATTTTGCAAACAAAAAAGTCAGAATGAATTTAGACTATTGAGCCAGCACACTCTGTTATAGGCTCAGGCTGCTTGATTGTCACACATTAGCACATTCAGAACTATTTCATTGTCCTACCGAAAGAACCGTGAGTAGCAACACTTCACAATCATTCTGCCAATCTGCACCCAACTGTTTTTGGGTGGGGTCATCGCAGGCCTGCAGGGGGCCTCAGTCTGCCGCATTGTTCACCATGCTAAAGTAGAACATATGGTGATAGCACTGTTGTGCTAATGTGATATTCTTTGAGGAACCATTAACAAGTGATACCAAGACCAGTATCTTATTTGCACAGTCGTTGCTGAATGCAAAGGTAAAATATTGTATTTAATGCTAATAAATTGAGCACTGTTCAAAGTTAAATACTTTTAGACCATAGATCTTATTTTATGGGATTGCATTAAATTTAAAAAGAGAGCAGAATTAGTTCAACCTTTACAACTTCTCAATAGCACAATGTAAGCGTGTTTTTCAGCCTTTCGTATTTTTTAAATCAAGAAACAGCCTTTTAAATGTTTTACATTCATTTTACTCATTTACTTACTCCTTACAACACTGAAGAAAGGATTTCAAGACATTTTAGCAAATCTGCATGTGAACCTAAAGTATGGGGTTTGAGTTCAATAAATATATACAAAAGAAGTTGCAGTCAGTGAAGCATACAATTATAATGTCTAATTTTCTAACCTGGAAATGAAACATTAATTATAAATCGAGTTCAGGCTAAATAAACTTTTCGTGGCAAATATTATTGAGAATCCAACAGTGGAGTGGATTCAGCATTAAAAAGTAGCCTTGAAAGATAATCCATTTTATTTATTGTGTTGTGATTCTTGCAAATGCAAACACTACTGAATTAGAATAGATGTTCCTCTTATTGATATAATCAACCTCTAATGTTATCACTATATGCCTATTGAAAAAAATCCTGATAACCACAGATTGTTCCATATCAGTTAATTAAATTGCATTTTATCACAAAGAAGGTCATTTCATTTGGGTTGTTTGTCTATGGCTACTAGGATTTTTGATCATACAATGCTATATTTAAACAGATTATAGGCTACTTCAAATTACAGCTAACATATCATACCAGTAACAGGATAAACGTGCATTGCAAAATTATTATTTTTTTAAATATTGCAAAACGTTTTTAAACAACATAGGTACCGCTTATAAAATGGTCAGGATTAATTTAAAACCTTTATGTTAGATTATATAAATCTCTCTTTGAGATCAAGTAATATATTTTAGTGTAATTCGAGTGACAAAAGGGTATTCTTCATTCACGTGACCTGTGACGCGCCGAAATTTGACACGCCCCCAGTGATCTGCAGTGACGTGAAGCATTTAAACTGGCGCCATTTTCTGTGCCCGGTCTCATTCTGCCGCAGTCGGCGTCGCGTTCTGCAACCTTCCTGTGTGTTCGAGAGAAACTGTAAGGTGAGGAATACAGCTTCTTCTTTTTTCTTCATCAAACGTTCTTTCAATGGTTAAATGAAGTGTTATATCCTGTTTTTGCATTATATTGTTGTTTAATTTGTAATTCTAGTTCATTTTTTCTTATATAAACGGTTTTTACATATTCTTAGTCTTTTAAAAATACATCTTATAAAGGTTTTTGTTGTAATTGCTGTTTTTCTTTATAATGGCTCACATGTTGTATATAAATCGTTTTTGGATCAGGCGGATTAGATGGCTTTCTTTGTTCAGGCTGCAGCTCAAAAGCTCTTCGTCGTGACCTAGTTCCACTGACCTACTTTTCATAAAGCTAGCGCTTCCGATATTGAACGGCTATTTTCATTTGGGCCTTACAGATTAATTTAGTCTAAAATATGAATCTGTAGAGTTCAAACGGAGTTTGAAAAGATAAAGCATTTCTTTGTGCCAAAATGGCTGCAGCACGCTGTGAGGAAGAGGTGGGTGGGGGTGGGTAGAAAATGGCGCTTCCTTGTTGCGCACTTTGAAACACGATGCGTTTGAGCAACTCGACGAATTTGCTTTCATTTACTTCCGTTCAGCCCTCATTTATTTATTTTTAACTTTTCTGACCGTTTTTACGCGATAATAATGTAAAATAAATATATTTTTCTGCAGAATATTAATCATGTCTGACGAAGGAAAGCTCTTCATTGGTGGTCTGAGTTATGACACCACGGAACAGTCTTTGGAGGAGGCATTCTCCAAATATGGAACCATTGCCAAAGGTTTGTTCACGTTTATTCAATTAGTTTTGTGTTTTTAAAATAGCTTGTACAGCTTTATTAATGATTATGTGCTGCTTTTGTTTTAGTTGATGTCATCAGGGACCGTGAGACCGACCGTTCCAGGGGATTTGGCTTTGTTACGTTTGAAAATCCAGAGGATGCAAAGGATGCCATGGCTGCAATGAATGGAAAGGTGAGGATATTGATGCATTGAAGACTATAAAAACTTCTTCTTTTTTTCAAATGTTTAAGTTTTTTAACTTAAATATTTGGTTGGTGGCTATTTTGTTGCCTGCCTTCATTTCAACAAAATGCCTTAATTTTGTTCATTTTTTGAACTTGTTCCAAACCTATGTTTCTTCTGATCACAAATTGTTAACCAGGCAGTTAATGGTAGCCACTGACTGCCGTAGTATATATTTCTTTTAATACTATGGAAGATTATGGTTGCCCTCAACTGTCTACATTACTGACCTTGTACAAAATATCCTCTTCTGTTTGAAACCACTTGATGATGAATAAATTATGGCAATCTTAATTTTGGGCGACCAATACCTTAAAGACCAAGAAATAAGTGACATGAAATTCACTGACTGGGCTGGTACCTGAACCACATTAACCATGAGATAAATTTTTCTTGCAGTCTGTCGATGGCCGCATGATTCGTGTTGATGAAGCCGGCAAATCTGGTGGACGGTCCGGTGGATTCAGAGGCGGTTCTGGAGGTGGCAGGGGATTCTTCAGGGGTGGCAGAGGAAGAGGTTTGTATTAAACTTGGACAAGTTTGCTAACAGATGGCCATGTAATTATCATGACAAAGCTGATGGTCCACTTCAGTTGGGTGCATCTTGAATGTCTTGTTTGTTTTCTATGCTAATCTTTTTTTTTCTTCTTCTTCTTGGTTAAACAGGAGGTGGAGGATACAGTGGAGACAGAAGCTACGGTGGTGACAGGAGCTATGGTGGAGACCGCAGTTATGGCAGTAGCGATAGAGGCTATGGTGGTGGGGAGAGAAGCTATGGCGGAGGTGACCGTTCATACGGTGGTGGTGGTGGAGGATACTCCAACAGGAGTGGAGGATACTCCAGCGGTGGCAGCGGGTACAGGGATAACAGGTGAGGGATCTCTTACGGTTGGAATGGTTGTGCAGAAGGAACAGTTGTTTTGGTCTTGCAACCGTGAACCCCTTAAATATGGCAAATATTACTTTTGGTTTTAGGAGCCAGGGGGGATATGACCGCTCTGGCGGATCCTACAGAGACAGTTACGACAGCTACGGTATGTATTGCTTGATTGATTACTAATTAATACTATGCAACTGTACCAATCTGCACCAATAGAGTTCAGGCCTCTGTGATCTTAGAATAATGTCTAGACCTAAGCAGAATGAGAACTGCCACCTCAACTTTTGAGATCAGTCAACTTGGTTGCTTTATCATGGAATTGCTGACCACAATCCTACAAGTCAATATTAGCGACTAAAGTCGGTTTTGTGCACTTGATCAGAATAGTCAATAAGACCTTGTTCGAAAGAATCATATCATGGTGTCAGTTCACTTTTTGGAAAGGATGTTCACAATGCTCCAGTGCCTTTACACTCTTGCCTACTTCTTGTCCTCAGCTTCACACGAGTAAAAAAAAATCCTGATTCCAAGATCCATCCCTACTACGCTGGCTGTATTTAAAAAGATGCGCTCTTCGAAGACCTTTTTTTATTTTTACTTTTTTCTTTACGTTTTGTGTTCTGGTTCAAATGTTCTATTAAAGACAGACTCCTTTTTTACCGTGTCAAGTATCCGCAGGATGTTCCTCTCATTGAGGAGCTACCTAAAATCCATGAGCATTCAGTTACTATAAGACTTTCAAGCCTAGTGAGGCTTCCTGTATCTGCCATTTTTTTACCTTGCGATTGTTATAGATGCTCACAGGGGGTTGAAATTGTCTTTGTTTTTCTTTTTAGTATGTGTTTAAGAAATTTGTCTCTCTGAAACCATGCGTGAAAATTGACCTGTCCAACACAGCCTGATAGCTTCTAAGACCAATTTCCTCAAATATCTTTGGACCAATTTCTTAATATCGGCTCACTGAAAGTGCTAGGGGCATTTGCATTTAAACTGAATTTTAAAGCGGCAGCTTCGCCATCAGAAAATATTCTAATCCGATCCTCCAGTAGAAGCTTGATAAGCTGTGATGTGCTCTTTATGGCTCCTTGCCACCTCCATTTTGTGATGCATTCCTTTAGTGAAGCAAGGCAGGCATGTTGCGTTGGAGTTGTCTCCGGCAAACCTCCTTGATGTTGCTAAAGATTTGTAAATATTCATTATCCAAAGAGTAAACCACTTCAGTGGGTCATTGAGCCTCATGTTAGGACTAATGACCCAAGGTACTTTGCTCTTTGCACAGTCTAAATTTATTTTTAAAAGTATGCTCTGTGGACTGAACTTATCCTCTTAAATGTCAAGGTTTTGTTCCTTCTTGGAAAGAAATGTGCTCTGTTTCTGTATATCAACACCTCAGAATCCTTTTTCTTTTTTGTATTAATCTGGCTTCATGAAGCCCATTAAAAAATGGTTGGAAACTGCTCTGATTTCTTGTGCCTCCGGTATTAATCAATGCAAGCCAGATGAATGTTTTGGAATGGCTAGCTGGGAATTTAGCTTCTGGGATCTTAAATGTTCACCTAGGAAAAATAAAATTTAGTGTTTCAGCAAACAAATATGAAGATAAACATTGCTGTTATGGTATAGCAAGCAATGGCTCTGTATAATGCTTCATTGGATCCAAGAGTTCTCTGCTAGCAAATTCGGAAATCAACAATGTCCTTGGAGAATGAAGTGTTGTGCCTTCCGACTCAAGAATCCTGAGATGAAAGCTGCTCTCTTGACTAGGTCATTTGTGGAGATAGGCCTGTAATGTGAGGTAAAAACTTTTGCTCTCCTGTACGCATCCTACAACAGTTCTCATTGTCCATGTTTTCTTCGAATATTGCCTCGACCAGTGATCTTTTACATCTGCAGAATCTAGTCAATCCTGTTCCACATCTTCCCCCCTTTAAAAGAAAATAACAAGCTGCATGACTCGACTACTTTTTATAGTGCGCTCGTGTTTGGTGGAAAGTACCTCATGCCGCCCTTCAGATGAGATGTTTAAGTCCCTGTTCTGATTGCAATTTTTTTTTCTGCACCCACTTTAAAGACTCATCTTTTTGTCACTATTGTCAAAACCAGACTTGAAATTTGAGATGTAGCCTTTGCGTCGCCTCTTCGTCTTGAGTGATTACTATGGAGTCCCTATAGAAATGCCTGGTCCTTTTTCAACATTAGTTTTGTATGAATTTCTTGCTTGTTAAACTAGAAATGTTAATAGTTTATTTAAAAAAAAAAAAAATGTAAATGCATGATTCTTACAATTGTTGTCCCCATCTACTATAGTAAAATATGCTCTTATTTTCCAGACTGATGCATTGGACGTGTTGCATTTGGGAACTAGCGGAGGAAGCTAACCTTTCAGATGAAATGAATTCATTTTCATGGTGAAAAAGAGAGGTATGCAGCTGCCTTTAAAATCCACGTTTGATTTAAGAACTAATTTCAGGAGTGTCCAGATATTCTAATAGAAATGGGTTTTTGAATAACATTAATTTGTTAGTTTCTTCTGTATGCTCTATTGTTTTCTGACATGCTTTTTATTTTACTACTTCCCAGAGCTCATGGAAAGCTGTTGTGCTGATGAACCCTTCTCTCCGTAACCAATGGAAAGCATCAAAACACTTTCTAGAGATGAACAGTCGATCGTCTAGATTGAAGTTTGTGCTGTATTTTGCTGAAAGTGGTTGACAATGCTAACATCAACCAATAAGGATGATTGTTACGAGGTGATGCTGTAGAAAGTTGTTCATTTTAGTCTTGAGAATGATAAAGGAGTTCAATAAAGTTTGTTTACACTATTTTGTTTGGTATTTTGCTTTACAAGTTTAGCATGGGTTTTTCTCTTGAGGCTAGTTTAGCAATACATACACTTTCACCAAAAGGTGGCAGTGGTGGTCAACTACAGTAGTGGTTCTCAACAGTTTTGACTCCAAGGCACCCCATTTCAATCATTATTTTACCACATAGATTTTTATAAAAATGAATTCTATTTCTCCCAGAAATATTTTAAAGCTTAAACTAAATTTCATTCCAAATGCCCATGGAGTTTGATTTACACCACTCTTTCAGATCTAGAAGTCAAATACTAGGTTCTTATCCAGGTTTGACCAATTAAGTTAGAAATGTCTTTAAAATAAGAACTGATTTATAATGCTTGTCTGTAGAGGTGGTATGGGAAATTTCATGATTGTAGTAAAATGATAATGGATATCAAAATTATAGTATTATGCTCTGTAATTGTTCAAAGTACCAATATACAAAACTGAAACTTCACCTAGTAATATTGAACATTTTAAATTTTGCACTGTTTGCATGAGATTTAAGATATTAAAAATAGCTGTATTATAACTGTTATCTACCAACATTTTCAAAATGTTTTGACTTAAACCATAAAATGATAGGCTCACTTGCTTTGCATAATGCAAACAGTTTTAACAATTAAAATATGGAACCATAATACTAATCCTCAGGGTCTAATCCTGGATTATTTAATATCTTGAGCTGCCTTGGAAGTTTCCTAATGGGCTCCAGGCCTCTGGTTGAGAACCACTGAACTACTGCATAAATGCTTGGTATAAATGCATATTACTTTTATGAAACAGTGACAAGAGTAGGTCTTTATTTTAAAATTGCACATTTAATGTTACAGATGTGCTGAATGTTTTTTTTTTGTTTTTTTTTTTTAAATCAAACATGGATGATTGAACTCATATGGAACCAAACAACTTGTTCTGAACTAAACAACTTTAGCCAGGTTGTCCTTCCATGTTTCATGTTGCTGCGGAGTAGGTGGCTTCATTTTGTCATGAATCCATGGAAGGTATTTGGATATGTCAGTGTATCTTGAGCAGTGGTCTCCATTTGACTCCAGTCGGTAATAAGATACAATTCCCTGAGCAACATCTCCACAAACCAGTGGACCTCCAGAGTCTCCCTGTGGATGATGATATTAGATTGTTAGGGTAACATTATACAATAAGGTTCATTAGTTAACTACCTTAATTAACATTAACTACTACCTCAGCATTTATTAATCTTAGTTAATATTAATTTCAACATTTACTAATATGTTATTAAAATCAAAGGTTGTTTGTTAACATTAGTTAATCAAAGTCTCAACTATCATGAACAAACAATGAACAGCTGTATTTTTATTAACTATCATTAAAAAAAGATTAATAAATACTGTAACAAATGTATTCCTCAGTGTTAGTTAATACATAAACCAATGAACATTATTGTAAAGTGTTAGCATTATAAGTATGAGTATAAGTTCAGAGTCACGATATCTAGACTGCACTAACAATACACCGTAGATAATACTTTGTAAGTGCCACTTGAAATACCATTGCCGGTCCAATCTTTCCCGCGCTGCACAGAGTGTCTTTTGTCCCACAGTTTTTAGAGTCCAACAGAGTTACATTTGCTTCCCTGAGAACCTTTGATGGATGAGACGCATCATGGTAACCAAGCAAGCCCCAACCCATGACCATGCAATGTTTGTGACTCTCTTTTTCTGGCAAGGGGACAGTCTTCACAGTTTTATTCAAAGTTGCTGGGGTTTTAAGCTGAAAGGAAAGGTGCAAAGTTCTATATTTCTTTCTGTTTTTATTTTAGAGAATGTATTCATTAGATTAAATACAACTTAATTAGATTTAGCCAAATGATATTCTGCAAACCTCAGATTTCCTGTTATGAAAGGCCATTTTTCAAAAGCATAATTCCAATTATAAATGGTTCAACGTTACCTTTAAAAGCATGATGTCGTGACCTGGTTTATTGTTGATGAAATGTGGATGTGGAATTGGATCTACAGCTACACCGTCAGGTAAAAAGTTGGTGTCATTGACGCCTAAATACACCTTAAGATGACTAAAGATGACAACAACAAAATAAACAGATACAGAGGCCAAATTTTAAAAAAATATACATTTTAGGTCATACTTTACAATCAGGTTCATTAGTTAACATTAGTAAATGCGTGAACTAACAATGAGCAATACATTTGTTACAGTATTTATTCATCTTTGTAAATTGATTTGAATAATGTTTAATAATTGACGAAGTACATGTTGGAATTAATATCAAAGATTAATAAATGATGAAGGTTTTAACTAATGAACCTTTAACCTTATTGTAAAGTGTTACCATATTTCAATGCAACTATATTGCCACTTTGGATATCAATATCACTTGTTTATTGTGGAATTTGAGGCAAGTTGTATATCCTTTTTAATTCCAAAATATGATCATTCATTTCACCTACCTATATTTACAGTGGGCGGCTGTCATCACGAAATCCTCTCTTACCAAAAAACCATCACACACTGCTTTGGATTGAGAGTCACGAATGTAGACCATGTAGGGTCGACTGTGTGGAATGGAGACTTTACCACCAACAATACCATCATGCATGGAGAAACCTAAGAAAGAGTTCAGTTTTATGAAACAATTCAACAGCATATTCTGAGAAACAAACTTTTGTAACCACATAAGTAGATTAGATGTGATCACCTGGAGTGCAGGAACGCAGCAGTAGCAGACCAGTTATATACCAAAGGATGCTCATTGTTGACAGCTCAGTCACACTCAGTATGCTACAGAAATGTTGTCTCATGCTTTTATACAGAGTCAAGGGACCCATACCCGGAAGTTAATGGTAGAGGCTGATCGGTTTTGCTGATGTAACAGCGTTTGAGCTTGTTATGATCATAAATCAGTGATTATCATCAGCACTTGCTGTTTGCCACCTCAAACTGTGGTTAACATCAGAAAGTGCACACGATCAGTTTTAAAAGTTGTGAAAATTTCAACTCATGCTACCTCATTTACCACACTTTATCAGGTCCAATTTTATGACCCCAGAACAGCTGTAATGTTTTGTGGCGATGATTCAGCAAGACCCTGCAAACATTCTAGTCTCGATTGACATGGTAGCATCACGTAAACTGGACATTTGTGAATTATGATCTTTCTCCACATTCCACAGGTTCTCTTTTGAGATCTTGAGACTGTGGAAGCCATCGGAGTTCACTGAACCTCTTGGGCATGTGTGCATGCTTTTATGCACCGAGTGTTCTTTGTGTTTCCTTTTGCTCAAGACACAACTCATTCAAGTGTCATCTTTTATGGTGGAATAGACTCTCTCTCTTCACATGGACTTTTCCAAACTTGCTAATGGTTGGTGTCCTTGCAGAGTTGGAGATTAAAGGTGTTGTTGGGTGTCAAATTGTAGCTGAGAGTTAAAGGCTCCCTCTTTCAAAGATGGGTAGACTATCAGATTTATTAGAACCAGGAGGTTGACTATGGGATGGTTAAACAATTAGACGTCACGATAGAAGCAGGGAACGAAACGACAGTTGTAAAAAGTCCACCAATCACTGCACAAATCACGATGTTACTGATGTTTTATTAGACCAAACGCTGGTAATGGGGGCATTTACAAAGAAATTGCTAGTTTATACCACTAACAAGGCTCAAAATAGCCCCACACTAACACAGTAACATAATGAGGGTCCATATGCAAAACGAAGCATTGAGAACTTTGTAAGTGTACAGACCGTTTAATAAGACAATACTTTATAAAGACAGTTCACTTCGCGGATACAGACAGGAGCCATCTTGGAAAACAGTCACGACAAGTCAAACCACGAACGTCGTGCTGAGTGATCTGAACTGTATGAAATTCAGCGAACTTCTGAACTGTATGAACGGCGTTCGGGGATCGACTTATCGAGAATATATTCTAAGATGGCTCCTGCCTGTATACACGAAGTGAACTCTTTATAAAGTATCGTCTTATTAAACGGTCTGTACACTTACAAAGTTCGCAATGCTTCGTTTTGCATACGGAGCCTCATTATGTTACTGTGTTAGTGTGGGGCTATTTTGAGCCTTGTTAGTGGTATAAACTAGCGATTTCTTTTTACTTAGTAAATGCCCCCATTTACTAGCATTATACGCTAAACAGTTTTTAGAGATACAACTCTTTACATTCAATTATCATGAAAACAAATCTCAGAGAACGATTGACTAGGTACTGATGTTTTATTAGACCAAAGGTTCATTTTGCGCTGGAGTTCTCCTTTAAGCGTTTCCCAACCCAAGCCGTCAAACCTACGTCATTTTCAGATTTTGATTAAAGATTACCATGGTAAAAATTGTTTTTATATATATTTACTTGCACAGATTAATTGTGCACCACAAGACTAATAATATGCGGTAACAAAGTAAATAGGTTCAATTTTGATTTCACAGGGACTTTAAGAATAAAAGTAAATGACAACAGTGCGTTTCCAAGTAAGAAAATAGCATGACACACTTTGATATCCGGCCACTCTTAAATGAAAAATCATATGAGAGGTCAGGTCATGTCACTAGGTTTGTGAAATGCAATAAATCATCAAAATCTTCTGGATTTGTATGGTTTCAGTTGATACTGTCTGTGGTTCGTGACTTCACAAATGTTCACCATGATGTTTTGCATCGCTCTCAGGCCTAATCGATATCATCGCTATTTGCATCGTCTACTCACAGAAGCTACGTTTATTTTGCAGTTCTCAGAAGATCACCAGATAAAGCCTCAAGCAATGTGTGAGAATGTGGTTTTGAGTAAGTTTTGATGTGTGACTCTCTACATGCCTCCCTGGAGCTCATCTACCAGTCAAGTCTAGAAGAGGATAGGAAAAGAGACATGAATTAAGAGGGGAAGATGAGCAGTGACAATGCATTCCAGACATGGCTAAATACTTATTTGTCTGAGCACTAAATCCACCCTTTGCTGCTTCCCCATAAAAATTCTAGTCTTAAAAAGACAAAATAGCTCCCTAAAAGTATATGTATTGCTAGTTTTGATGGCATAGTTGTTTTTGTTTTTTTTTGTGAAGAAAAAGTGCAATTTACGCCATTATTCATTGAAAGTTACCAGAATGTCAGTAAAAACTTTGAAACTGTATGATGACTGTAGCGTAACTTGATCTACTGCCTCTGTGCATTGAATTGTTTATTACTGTAATTTAGGCCTATATATGTAACTATTATTTATTTTTCATTGTCTTCTTAATGCTGATATCCATTGTTACTGTATTTGAATGTTCAAGAAAGTTGTTTATATCTGTATTATCTGTTTTGTTCATAAATCATTCAATAAAGTTTTCTTTAAAGTTTATATTTCTATAAAATGCAAAATACATACAAGCCTGATTGGCCGATGGATTGTACGTCAACGGCGCCGCCATATTGGTCCAGGCAGCTTGCCGTAACTGGACTGAGAAACGAACCCTGATTATTTTGAGCTTTTACAAACCATCGTACAATCCAAACCATTTCTCGGGGAATTACCTTTCACATGTAAGTCTGAAGAGTTTTTTTTTTTTTTTTTTTTTTTTTTTTGTCAACTAGTTGGCCACCAAAGTCTAATTGCTACGCTAGTTAGCTATGAGAACTGTTTAGCCTATATTAGAGTGAATGAATCAAAATCGCAAGTTTGTCTTCTATGCATTGCAGTGAGCCAAATGCCTTTGACAGGCTAGCTAAGGCTGTCAGAATTACAGCAAAACCGTCTAATCTCACCAAAGAGCAGGTGTTTTGATTGCTTGTCATCTAATCAGCTCATTTATATTTTTCCCCATTTTAGCCAGTGTCAGCCAGGATAACGCAAACGTCAAGGAAGACTGAAGAAAGCCTGTCAGTGGACTGTTCTCTGCTTTTCCAACAGACTGCACCTCTTTTGCCAATCATATGATTATATGACTTAAACAATTAAATGATGTAGCCTACTTCTCACTACTGACTTTTTATTTGCTATTTTTATTTTATAGACTATTAATTCAACCCGGTATCACGACAAGACGTGAAATAATCACGTTGGTCCACTTTGGAAAACGTGTAGATGTATATATAATGTGGTATTGTATTAATAGTTATTATATTGCTACTATATTATACTCAAACTCAATTGTATTTTTAGGCTATTATTATTATCAAGAATAATAATAATATGCTATAGCATAAAACTGCCCAATAGAAATAATACATCTGCAATATATCACTTATATTGCATATGATTTATATTGTACTAGTTGTATTATAATGTTTTTCCACTGTAATTTAAATGTTTACTGTATCCATTAAGAATGATCTTATAATTCGGGGTACAAGCTGTGATATTAATGTTGCCCACTAGAGGAAACCACAGGATAAGGAATCTTTTAAGTATAATCCTTTTCCATCTGTTTCCATCGATTTGAATGGAAGTAGTTCATTTAGCTCATTTGTATAACTATGGTGTACAGACAGTAAGTCTGTAAAATGTTTATAAATCATTAACTTTTTACAACTCAATAAAACACATTTTTTTCAAGTTGCTAGAAATAATTAAAAATAATGCTGTTCGTTTAAAAAGAAAATAATTTGTATGTCTTTTTTACTATAATATAAAATTTCTCTTAAGACATTGTTATGGTATGAACAATAAAATAAACATTTGTGTGTTAAACTGCAAGCATAAGGTTAACAAAATAATGCTGAAAGATGAAAAGGTGAAGATGCTTCAAATAAATAAGGGTTTTGGGCTTCAAATTATCTTCAAATTCACTTACTAGCAGAGGAAGCTAACCTTTCAGATGAAATGAATTCATTTTCATGGTGGAAATGAGAGGTATGCAGTTGCTTTTAAAATCCACGTTTGATTTAATAGTTTCAATAATGTCTAGATATTCTAATAGAAATGGGTGTTTGAGTAACATTAATTTGTTAGTTTCTTCTGGATGCTCTTTATTATTATTTTTTTGACATGATGGTTTTTATTTTCATTCTTCCCCAGAGCTCATGAAAAGCCGTTGTGCTGATGAACCCATCTCTCCATAACCAATGGAAAGCATCAAAACACTTTCTAGAGATGAACAATCGATCGTCTAGATTGAAGTTTGTGCTGTATTTTGCTGAAAGTGGTTGACAATGGTAACATCAACCAATAAGGCTGATTGTTACAAGATGATGCAGTAGAAAGGTGTTCATTAGTCTTGAGAATGATAAATGAGTTCAATAAAGTTACACTATTTTGTTTTGTATTTTCCTTTACAAGTTTATTAGCATAGGTTTTCCCCTTGAGGCTTACACACACTTTCACCACAAGGTGGCAGTGGTGGTCAACTACAGTAGTGGTTCTCCACAGTTTTGACTCTCAAGGCACCCCATTTCAATCATATATATATATATATTTTTTACCAGATAAAGATTTTTATAAACATGAATTCTATTTCTTCCAGAAGTATTTTGGAGCTTGGGAACTAAATTTCATCCCAAATGCCCATGGAGTTTGATTTACACAACTTTAAGAGAAGTTAAATGTTAGGTTCTTATCCAGGTTTGACCAGAAATGTCTTTAAAATAAGAACTTATTTATAGTGTTTGTTTTTTAGAGGTGGAATGGGAAACTTCATGATTGTGGTAAAATGATTATGGATATCAGTATAGTATGTTCTTGTTCAAAGTACCAATTAACAAAACTGGAACCTAGTTATGTATTGAAAATTTTTAATTTTGCACTTTGTTTGCACAAGCATTAAAATATTACCAATAGCTGTATTATTAATTAATGATAAAATAACATCTAAATAACATTTTCGAAAAGTTTTGACTAAAGCCATAAAATGATAACCTCACACTTGTTTTACTTTGCTTTATGCAAAAAATACAATTTTAATAAGTAAAATATTAAACCATAATACTAACCCTCAGGGTTTAATCCTGGATTATTTAATATCTTGAGCTGCCTTAGAAGTTTCCTAATGGGCTCCAGGCCTCTGGTTGAGAACCACTGAACTACTGCATGAATCCTTGTATATTTAACTGCATAGTAGTCATTTGTGAGAGAGACGGACATCCGGGTAGTTGGAGGATGAAGGAAGAGCAATCGAGCGCAGATCGATAGATAGCGTTCATTGGCGCACAGGACTCCTCTTGGGCCAATCAGCACCAATGTTTTGAAGCACAGTATGTTACCCGCCATGAAACAAGAAGTGCTTGCCTGTTCAAGTTGCCGACTGTCGTGACCAGTGACCACCACCATGGATTCAGCTGGGACATATACGGTAATGACATTTAACTGTTGTTAATGTTACAGCTATTTTGTAGAAACGGAGGGAAATTAAATCTTTCTCCCAACGTTGCTACTGCTAACGCAGAGTAGTTAGCTATTATTCCACGTTTTTATGGTAGCCTACTAGCTCTGGTAACGACATTTTTGCCTGGTGTTTATTATTTTTTAGCGTTTGCCTCTTCCTCTGGTGAAAATGTTGTTGCAAACGTAGGTAGTGTTAGCCGCCGCCAAGTACACTGGTCATGTCTTCTGTGTGATTGAAGACATGAAGACAAACATTTCCCTTCTGTTTCAGTGCAACCGCTGTGTGAAAATAAGGCATGTGTCTAAGCCTAAGAATAAAGCTTATTCAAATATTGCAAGTGTATTGTCAGTGTATAAAGTAAACAGAGCAAAGTGAAACAATAAATCATGGAGGGCACAACCTAAATAATAAAATAAAATATAACAAATTAATAAAACAAAACACCCGATTTATTATTTCAGCTCAACAAAACGAAAACAAACGCGTTTGTGTCTCTCCTGTTCAAACCTGTTGAACAAAATGAACAAATCTTTTTTCGAGTAATTTGGTTCATTCAACGAACGAAATGAACGAATTGACTCGGAAAAAGATTCGTTCATTTTGATGAACTAGTTCGAAACATGAGAGTCAGACAGAACAGAGCAAGGCGAGCATTTGAGCTTATAAAACTTAAACTTTGTTGTTGTTTTTTTTTTTTTTAATGAGCGATCGTTTCACTTGATAAGACCCTTATTCATCATCTGGAATCGTTTAAAGCCCTTTCAACAGTTTGAAGTTTGCACTGAAACTGTCTTTTGGACCTTGAACTGTTTGGTTCCCATTGAAGTCCATTATATGGAGAAAAATCCTGGAATGTTTTAATTAAAAACCTTAATTTCTTTTCGACTGAAGAAAGAAAGACATGGACATCTTGGATGACATGGGGCTGAGTAAATTATATAACGTAAAAAGTACATTCGAATCCTCAGTATTCATAAAAGAGTATAGGCGAGAATTACCTGGTTGATGTACAAATTATCGCGAGATTTGTACGATAGTGCGTTCGAATATCCCTACTTTCTTACTATATAGGCGAAAACAGTACGTGAAAGAAGCAGTAAGTTCGAAAATCAGTATTCATAAAAGAGTTGGTGAGAAGTTCCTGGATGATCACCTGCTTTCGCACAGATATTTGAGTGCTTGTCCGATTGTACTCATCTATCCCAGGAGGCCATGCGAGAGGATACATCATTATCAACATCGCGGAGATCAGCAGTTAAACACGGTTCCTTGTGTTTAACTCGTATGTGTTAAACTACTATATAGAGTAAACTTTTTAACTGTTGAAAGTGTAAAGGAGTTAGACAATATAGTTGTGATTTTGCTGTAAACACGTTTTACTATATAGCTAGTTAACAGGGGAGCTTCAGTAAGTACACGTAACGTTACATTTCTTAAGTGGATTTACATAACAGTACACCTTTATTTAAAATGTCTTTTACATCAGGAAGGAACATATTGTATAAGTATTGGAGATGAGCACATCACAACATGAAAAATTCATGAGTGTAAGGAAGGTTTTGTGTGCTGTGCTAGTAGGATAATTCACTGTTGTAAACACTGTTTACATTAGACAATTGTGCTATAAATAAGGCAAATAAACAAATCTATAGTAACTAAACATGATATTTAAGTTGTCCCTTATTAGTGTTGATATATAGACGAATCCGACGAGCGTTCTGTGTAGGCTGCCATCTTGTGGCGACGCCATTACTGAGCTGTTACACAGGCATAGACATATGCACCGGTATGTAAACAAACCTCGGTGATAACGCGAACTCACCCTCGATGACAGCTACAGCCAGGCAGAATGACTTGTTGGTTTGATCTGTGACTGCAGTGGCCTCCAGTCACAGATGAAGGTACAAACGATCTTACAGATTAACGTTATTTATGAAAATAGCTTGGCAAGCTAGCTAGGCTAACGTTTGCTAACGAGGAAAAAAGATCTGTCCATTTGGCAACAATAAATAAATAAATGAATGAAATCAAATAAACAAATTCATGTTTTTCATTTGTGTCCATTATTTATCTCATTTTCACATTGCAACAGGCAAGGGTAAGGTAACGTTACAGCTAGAAAGTATACATAATATCGACCAATTAGTGTTTTTAAACCATGGAAAGAGGTCAGTATAACAGCAGGAAAACAATTATGTCACATAACGTTACATTTAGCTCAGGAAAGCCATTTAATGACCATAGCATGTTAATTGAATAGAAAAAATAGCAAGAGAGGAGATTTTGCTGATCACTAGATCACATATTTATTATATATTTTTTACTTATGTCATTAAATAATTGTTATTATACGCGAATGTCCGCGTCTTGTACTCGCCCAGGAAATCTGTAAACCGTACGGCACCAGACAGGGGCAGTCGACCCGGGGTATTCACAGTGTTTTCTCTTCAAAATTGAAATTTTACTGCCACCATTGAAACAATTTATAACGGAAACTGTTTACCCACTCGACATTATACAAGGGGTAACGTTGTAACGTTAGTGACAGTCGTAAATCGCGGGCTGTTTATTCCAGTGGACGCAAGTTGCAACTAAAACAATAGGAGGCAATGGCGCAATGCTACCCAGCAACAGCTCAGTAATGGCGCCCGCTTACTTCCAGTAGTTTCGCCGGATTCGTCTATTGAGGAACATTTAAGTTGGATAAAAAGTGAGTTAACATATCAACCTCAACATGTAAATTCAGTGTTGAGCTCGTAATGTGAATCTTGTCTGTATGTTACAGGGACAGAAGAACACACGTGTGTTTATCCGGTGGAGAAAGGCTCATGATGCTAAATGCTGTCATCAAAGGCTTTGAGTGAGTATACTACAGAAATGGATAGCAAAATCTATTAAATCTTAAGTTGTAGTTTATTTGAATGATTGTAATTTCAAACTGAGAAATTGCAACACTTTTCTGATTTCTGTGCATTTGCTGCAGAACTTTTGTGGTGGAGCAGGACCTGCAAGGAAAGATGATGGTAGCATTTGTTGGGGAAAAAAGGTTTTAGGGATTTTACTCAAATATAAAGTAAGGTTATTTTTAATACATAAATCAAATGACATTGTGCTATTAAAATGACTGCTTTTGTGTAATGTTTGTGCATTTTTGTAGGATCTGAAATGTCTGCAGACTGGTGTGAGCACTGAGGATGAGGAGCTCAGAGCTGAATCCTGGAAGTGGTGCCATGGATGAGACCCTCCATCTCTCCGCCTGTCCTTACGAGAACCTCTATCGCCCCATCTGCCCTTATTGCCTCAGATTGCACTCAGGTCTAAGTCTCGTGGCCCTCTATCAGAATGCAGAGTTTTGAGGAGATTGGAGAAACTTAATTTCTCGCCCAAAAAAACAAAACAAAAGGGGTACCACTGTCGTTTTTTTTTTTCGGGTCGAAATTTTGAGTTTCGATATCTCAGCTCTGGAAGGGTCTACAGCCTCCATTTTTGCACTTCCAGAGCTGAGAAATCGAAAATCAAAATTTCGACCAGAAAAAAAAAAACCACAGTGGTAACCCTTTCGTTTTTTTGGGGGGCGAGAAATTAAGTATCCCCAATCTTCTCAAAACTCTGGATTCTGATAGAGGGCCATGAGACTTAGACCTGAGTGCAACAATGGAGGCTCTAGACCCTTCCAGAGCTGAGATAGCGAAACTCAAAATTTCGACCACAGAAAAAAAACGACAGTGGTACCCCTTTCGTTTTTTTTTTTTCGGGTGAAAAATTAAGTATCCCCAATCTTCTCAAAACTCTGGATAGAGGTTCTCTGATAGAGGGCCATGTTTATAATGGCATAAATGCTACGTGGGATCTCAATATCTCAGCTCTGGAAGGGTCTAGAGCCTCCATTTTTGCACTTAGGTCTAAGTCCCATGGCCCTCTATCAGAATCCAGAGTTTTGAGAAGATTGGAGAAACTTAATTTCTCGCCCAAAAAAAAAAAAATGAAAGGGGTACCACTGTCGTTTTTTTTTCGGGTCGAAATTTTGAGTTTCGTTATCGCAGCTCTGGAAGGGTCTAGAGCCTCCATTTTTGTACTCAGGTCTAAGTCTCATGGCCCTCTATCAGAATCCAGACTTCTGAGAAGATTGGAGGAACTTAATTTCTCGCCCAAAAAAAAAAAAAAACGAAAGGGGTACCACTGTCGTTTTTTTTTTTTTGGGGTCGAAATTTTGAGTTTCTCTGATCTTCTGGAAACTCTGGATTCTGATAGAGGGCCATGAGACTTAAACCTGAGTGCAAAAATGGAGGCTCTAGACCCTTCCAGAGCTGATATATAGAAACGCAAAATTTCGACCAGAAAAAAAAAAACGACAGTGGTACCCCTTTCGTTTTTTTTTTTTTTGGGGGGGGGCGAGAAATTAAGTTTCTCCAATCTCCTCAAAACTCTGGATTCTGATAGAGGGCCATGATACTTAGACCTGAGTGCAAAAATGAAGGCTCTAGACCCTTCCAGAGCTGAGATATCGAAACTCAAAATTTCGACCAGAAAAAAAAAGACGACAGTGGTACCCCTTTCGTTTTTTGTTTTTTTTTTCGGGCGAAAGATTAAGTATCCCCAATCTTCTCAAAACTCTGGATTTTGATAGAGGGCCATGAGACTTAGACCTGAGTGCAACAATGGAGGCTCTAGACCCTTCCAGTCCTGAGATATTGAGATATTTATAATGGCATAAATGCTAGGTAGGATCTCAATATCTCAGCTCTGGAAGGGTCTACAGCCTCCATTTTTGCACTCAGGTCTAAGTCTCGTGGACCTCTATCAGAATCCAGAGTTTTGAGAAGATTGGAGGAACTTAATTTCTCGCCCAAAAAAAAAGGAAAGGGGTACCACTGTCGTTTTTTTTCCGGGTCGAAATTTTGAGTTTCGATATCTCAGCTCTGGAGGGGTCTTTAGCCTCCATTTTTGCACTCGCGTCTAAGTCTCGTGGCCCTCTATCAGAATCCAGCGTTTTGAGAAGATTGGAGAAACTTAATTTCTCGCCCAAAAAAAAAAAAAAACGAAAGGGGTACCACTGTCGGGTTTTTTTTCGGGTTGAAATTTTGAGTTTCGATATCTCAGCTCTGGAGGGGTCTTTAGCCTCCATTTTTGCACTCACGTCTAAGTCTCGTGGCCCTCTATCAAAATCCAGAGTTTTGAGAAGATTGGAGAAACTTAATTTCTCGCCCAAAAAAAAAAAAAAGGGGTACCACTGTCGTTTTTTTTTTCGGGTTGAAATTTTGAGTTTCGATATCTCAGCTCTGGAGGGGTCTTTAGCCTCCATTTTTGCACTCGCGTCTAAGTCTCGTGGCCCTCTATCAGAATCCAGCGTTTTGAGAAGATTGGAGAAACTTAATTTCTCGCCCAAAAAAAAAAAAAAACGAAAGGGGTACCACTGTCGGGTTTTTTTTCGGGTCGAAATTTTGAGTTTCGATATCTCAGCTCTGGAGGGGTCTTTAGCCTCCATTTTTGCACTCACGTCTAAGTCTCGTGGCCCTCTATCAAAATCCAGAGTTTTGAGAAGATTGGAGAAACGTAATTTCTCGCCCAAAAAAAAAAAAAAAACGAAAGGGGTACCACTGTCGGGTTTTTTTTCGGGTCGAAATTTTGAGTTTCGATATCGCAGCTCTGGAAGGGTCTTTAGCCTCCATTTTTGCACTCAGATCTAAGTCTCGTGGCCCTCTATCAGAATCCAAAGTTTTGAGAAGATTGGAGAAACTTAATTTCTCTCCCAAAAAAAAAAAATAACGAAAGGGGTACCACTGTCGTTTTTTTTTTTCGGGTCGAAATTTTGAGTTTCGATATCTCAGCTCTGGAAGGGTCTAGAGCCTCCATTTTTGTACTCAGGTCTAAGTCTCATGGCCCTCTATCAGAATCCAGACTTCTGAGAAGATTGGAGGAACTTAATTTCTCGCCAAAAAAAAAAAAAACGAAAGGGGTACCACTGTCGTTTTTTTTTTGGGGTCGAAATTTTGAGTTTCTCTGATCTTCTTGAAACTCTGGATTCTGATAGAGGGCCATGAGACTTAAACCTGAGTGCAAAAATGGAGGCTCTAGACCCTTCCAGAGCTGAGATATCGAAACTCAAAATTTCGACCAGAAAAAAAAAAAACGACAGTGGTACCCCTTACGTTTTTTGTTTTTTTTTTCGGGCGAAAGATTAAGTATCCCCAATCTTCTCAAAACTCTGGATTTTGATAGAGGGCCATGAGACTTAGACCTGAGTGCAACAATGGAGGCTCTAGACCCTTCCAGTCCTGAGATATTGAGATATTTATAATGGCATAAATGCTACGTAGGATCTCAATATCTCAGCTCTGGAAGGGTCTACAGCCTCCATTTTTGCACTCAGGTCTAAGTCTCGTGGACCTCTATCAGAATCCAGAGTTTTGAGAAGATTGGAGGAACTTAATTTCTCGCCCCCCAAAAAAAAAAACGAAAGGGGTACCACTGTCGTTTTTTTTCCGGGTCGAAATTTTGAGTTTCGATTTCTCAGCTCTGGAGGGGTCTATAGCCTCCATTTTTGCACTCAGATCTAAGTCTTGTGGCCCTATATCAGAATCCAGAGTTTTGAGAAGATTAGAGAAACGTAATTTCTCGCCCAAAAAAAAAAAACGAAAGGGGTACCACTGTCGTTTTCTTTTTCGGGTCGAAATTTTGAGTTTCGATATCTCAGCTCTGGAAGGGTCTAGAGCCTCCATTTTTAAACTCAAGTCTCGTGGCCCTCTATCAGAATCCAGAGTTTTGAGGAGATTGGAGGAACTTAATTTCTCGCCCAAAAAAAAAAAAAAACAACGAAAGGGGTACCACTGTCGGTTTTTTTTTTTCGGGTCGAAATTTTGAGTTTCGATTTCTCAGCTCTGGAGGGGTCTATAGCCTCCATTTTTGCACTCAGGTCTAAGTCTCATGGCCCTCTATCAGAATGCAGAGTTTTGAGGAGATTGGAGAAACTTAATTTCTCGTCCCCCCCCAAAAAAAAAAAACGAAAGGGGTACCACTGTCGTTTTTTTTTGGGTCGAAATTTTGAGATTCGATATCTCAGCTCTGGAAGGGTCTACAGCCTCCATTTTTGCACTCAGATCTAAGTCTCGTGGCCCTCTATCAGAATCCAGAGTTTTGAGAAGATTGGAGAAACTTAATTTCTCGCCTCCCCAAAAAAAACCCGAAAGGGGTACCACTGTCGTTTTTTTTTGGGGGGGGTTGAAATTTTGAGTTTCTCTGATCTTCTTGAAACTCTGGATTCTGATAGAGGGCCATGAGACTTAGACCTGAGTGCAACAATGGAGGCTCTAGACCCTTCCAGAGCTGAGATATCGAAACTCAAAATTTCGACCAGATAAAAAAATGACAGTGGTATGAATGTGGAATGCCCTCCCTGACCATCTGAGGACACATCAAACTATTGAGACTTTTAAAAAAGGAATAAAACCTTTTCTTTTTAGGAGAACTTTTGACTTATACTGTCTATTTTTTACAATGCTTTTATGATCTTAAACTGTAGCACTTTGAGATTTGCTCTAAATGTAAGGTGCATTACAAATAAAATTTATTATTGAGTAGGTACTTAATTTCAGTAAGTACTTACTCATCGAGCGCTAAAAGAGTAAGTACTTTATAGCCAAATCTCGTTGAGTATGAATGCGAACCGGACATCTGCCATGTTGACGTTATCATGTGACCTACTATGTGTTATCACAAGCGCAACACCTTAAAATATAATGAACGACACATTTAATTCATCTATCTTATCTTGATATTGATGAAACTTGCTCATTTTGTTGTGGTATTGTTGAAGAAACAGCTGCCCATGTATTTTGTGAATACATTTAGGGTTGATTTAAGTTAACCCTACTAATGTAACCAACAGTGTTATTCTTATAACGATATTTTTTTTATCAAGAAACCCCAAAATCGTCATCTCTTGATTATGTTGTTAATTTCTTTGTTTTATACTCAGAAAGTTTCTCTTTTAATTTTTCCTCTTTTTCTTCATGAATTTACCTTGTTGCATCCCTCAGACTTATAACAAAAATTTTATGTTTTATGAAGAACTATAATGATGAAGATATTTAGCCTTTTTTATTGTTCTTTTTTCCTGTGTATAAATATAATTTTATTTCATATTATAATGTACACAAACCAATGATCTTTATATTTTCTGTTTTGTCATTATGATTGTTACATACAACTATGGTACCTTTCCATGATCTTGCATGTAATAAGTTTAAATTATATGAGTGACAGGTGCACTAACACTTCATAACATCAATAACTTGACAGCACAACCTAGAACAGTTTTCCTCTGCGTTTTTAACGTCTGCACAAAGGAGACGGGCAGCTGCTCGAAGAGCTCTTTTGGAGAAAACTGTTGATTTTATACTCAAAAAGTGTAAGTATCAGTCCTTAAAAATTAATATTACCTCAGAATGAATTGCATTGTTAGCCCACCCCAAAACTTAAACAAAATAATAATGTTAAATGCTGACCAATACTTAATTTTATAACTTTTTTATATACTAAAAATATAATTTAATAAAATAAGCAAAATGTAATTTGTTTTGTCATATGACAGTTATGCATGAATACATTTATACTGCTAAATGCAGTGACACATCTCAATTGTCAGTCAATCGATGAATTAATGCATACAATAATTAAATTTTATATAATGACAACAATAAGAAACATGAATAAATGAGTAAAAGAACAAATAAAAGTAACCATCACAATAAACAAATGCATATACAAGTCAACAACACATGAAACAAAGCTTTATTCAAAGTACAAGCAGGTATTCACAGCCGCTGAACACCACATCCTACTGCCGTCTCAACACAGCGGTTCCTATTCTGCGGCTTTATTCTGATGAATTCACCAGAGGGGACTGTGCCTTCGTGCTGGAGCTTGTTGCTGCACTGCGCTTCACAATCTGAGGCAATGAGGGCAGGTGGAGAGATGGAGGGTCTCGTAAGGGCAGATGGAGAGATGGAGGGTCTCGTAAGGGCAGATGGAGAGATGGAGGGTCTCATCCATGGCACCACTTCCAGGATTCAGCTCTGGGCTCCTCATCGTCAGTGCTCACACCAGTCTGCAGACATTTCAGATCCAACAAAAATGCACAAACATTACACAAAAGCAGTCATTTTAACACACTATATCATTTGATTTATGTATTAAAAATAACCTGCTTTATATTTGAGTAAAATCCCAGAAACCTTTTCTTTTCCCAACAAGTGCTGTCAGTCATCATCTTTCCTTGCAGGTCCTGCTCCACCACAAAGCCCTGCAGCAAATACACAGAAATCAAGACTCAGAAAAGTGTTGTAATTTCTCAGTTTGAAATTACAATCATTCAAATAAACTACAACTTAAGATTTAATAGATTTTGTTATCCATTTCTGTAGTATACTCACTCAAAGCCTTTGATGACAGCATTCAGCATCATGAGCCTTTCTCCACTGGATAAACACACGTGTGTTCTTCTGTCCCTGTAACATACAGACGAGATTCACATTACGAGCTCAACACTGAATTTACATGAGCTGAGATATTGAGATCCCACGTAGCATTCATGCCATTATAAATATCTCAATATCTCAGCTCTGGAAGGGTCTAGAGCCTCAATTTTTGCACTCAGGTCTAATTCTCATGGCCCTCTATCAGAATCCAGAGTTTTGAGAAGATTGGAGAAACTTAATTTTTCGCCCCAAAAAAAAAAAAACGTAAGGGGTACCACTGTCGTTTTTTTTTTTCGGGCCGAATTTTTGAGTTTCGATATCTCAGCTCTGGAAGGGGCTAGAGCCTCCATTTTTGCACTCAGGTCTAAGTCTCATGGCCCTCTATCAGAATCCAGAGTTTTGGGAAGATTGGAGAAACTTAATTTTTCGCCCAAAAAAAAAAACGTAAGGGGTACCACTGTCGTTTTTTTTTTCGGGCCGAATTTTTGAGTTTCGATATCTCAGCTCTGGAAGGGGCTAGAGCCTCCATTTTTGCACTCAGGTCTAAGTCTCATGGCCCTCTATCAGAATTTGGGAAGATTGGAGAAACTTAATTTTTCGCCCAAAAAAAAAACGTAAGGGGTACCACTGTCGTTTTTTTTTCGGGCCGAATTTTTGAGTTTCGATATCTCAGCTCTGGAAGGGGCTAGAGCCTCCATTTTTGCACTCAGGTCTAAGTCTCATGGCCCTCTATCAGAATTTGGGAAGATTGGAGAAACTTAATTTTTCGCCCAAAAAAAAAAACGTAAGGGGTACCACTGTCGTTTTTTTTTTCGGGCCGAATTTTTGAGTTTCGATATCTCAGCTCTGGAAGGGGCTAGAGCCTCCATTTTTGCACTCAGGTCTAAGTCTCATGGCCCTCTATCAGAATTTGGGAAGATTGGAGAAACTTAATTTTTCGCCCAAAAAAAAAACGTAAGGGGTACCACTGTCGTTTTTTTTTCGGGCCGAATTTTTGAGTTTCGATATCTCAGCTCTGGAAGGGGCTAGAGCCTCCATTTTTGCACTCAGGTCTAAGTCTCATGGCCCTCTATCAGAATTTGGGAAGATTGGAGAAACTTAATTTTTCGCCCAAAAAAAAAACGTAAGGGGTACCACTGTCGTTTTTTTTTTCGGGCCGAATTTTTGAGTTTCGATATCTCAGCTCTGGAAGGGGCTAGAGCCTCCATTTTTGCACTCAGGTCTAAGTCTCATGGCCCTCTATCAGAATTTGGGAAGATTGGAGAAACTTAATTTTTCGCCCAAAAAAAAAACGTAAGGGGTACCACTGTCGTTTTTTTTTTCGGGCCGAATTTTTGAGTTTCGATATCTCAGCTCTGGAAGGGGCTAGAGCCTCCATTTTTGCACTCAGGTCTAAGTCTCATGGCCCTCTATCAGAATTTGGGAAGATTGGAGAAACTTAATTTTTCGCCCAAAAAAAAAAACGTAAGGGGTACCACTGTCGTTTTTTTTTCGGGCCGAATTTTTGAGTTTCGATATCTCAGCTCTGGAAGGGGCTAGAGCCTCCATTTTTGCACTCAGGTCTAAGTCTCATGGCCCTCTATCAGAATTTGGGAAGATTGGAGAAACTTAATTTTTCGCCCAAAAAAAAAAACGTAAGGGGTACCACTGTCGTTTTTTTTTTCGGGCCGAATTTTTGAGTTTCGATATCTCAGCTCTGGAAGGGGCTAGAGCCTCCATTTTTGCACTCAGGTCTAAGTCTCATGGCCCTCTATCAGAATTTGGGAAGATTGGAGAAACTTAATTTTTCGCCCAAAAAAAAAACGTAAGGGGTACCACTGTCGTTTTTTTTTCGGGCCGAATTTTTGAGTTTCGATATCTCAGCTCTGGAAGGGGCTAGAGCCTCCATTTTTGCACTCAGGTCTAAGTCTCATGGCCCTCTATCAGAATTTGGGAAGATTGGAGAAACTTAATTTTTCGCCCAAAAAAAAAACGTAAGGGGTACCACTGTCGTTTTTTTTTCGGGCCGAATTTTTGAGTTTCGATATCTCAGCTCTGGAAGGGGCTAGAGCCTCCATTTTTGCACTCAGGTCTAAGTCTCATGGCCCTCTATCAGAATTTGGGAAGATTGGAGAAACTTAATTTTTCGCCCAAAAAAAAAAACGTAAGGGGTACCACTGTCGTTTTTTTTTTCGGGCCGAATTTTTGAGTTTCGATATCTCAGCTCTGGAAGGGGCTAGAGCCTCCATTTTTGCACTCAGGTCTAAGTCTCATGGCCCTCTATCAGAATTTGGGAAGATTGGAGAAACTTAATTTTTCGCCCAAAAAAAAAAACGTAAGGGGTACCACTGTCGTTTTTTTTTCGGGCCGAATTTTTGAGTTTCGATATCTCAGCTCTGGAAGGGGCTAGAGCCTCCATTTTTGCACTCAGGTCTAAGTCTCATGGCCCTCTATCAGAATTTGGGAAGATTGGAGAAACTTAATTTTTCGCCCAAAAAAAAAACGTAAGGGGTACCACTGTCGTTTTTTTTTCGGGCCGAATTTTTGAGTTTCGATATCTCAGCTCTGGAAGGGGCTAGAGCCTCCATTTTTGCACTCAGGTCTAAGTCTCATGGCCCTCTATCAGAATTTGGGAAGATTGGAGAAACTTAATTTTTCGCCCAAAAAAAAAAACGTAAGGGGTACCACTGTCGTTTTTTTTTTCGGGCCGAATTTTTGAGTTTCGATATCTCAGCTCTGGAAGGGGCTAGAGCCTCCATTTTTGCACTCAGGTCTAAGTCTCATGGCCCTCTATCAGAATTTGGGAAGATTGGAGAAACTTAATTTTTCGCCCAAAAAAAAAACGTAAGGGGTACCACTGTCGTTTTTTTTTCGGGCCGAATTTTTGAGTTTCGATATCTCAGCTCTGGAAGGGGCTAGAGCCTCCATTTTTGCACTCAGGTCTAAGTCTCATGGCCCTCTATCAGAATTTGGGAAGATTGGAGAAACTTAATTTTTCGCCCAAAAAAAAAAACGTAAGGGGTACCACTGTCGTTTTTTTTTTCGGGCCGAATTTTTGAGTTTCGATATCTCAGCTCTGGAAGGGGCTAGAGCCTCCATTTTTGCACTCAGGTCTAAGTCTCATGGCCCTCTATCAGAATTTGGGAAGATTGGAGAAACTTAATTTTTCGCCCAAAAAAAAAACGTAAGGGGTACCACTGTCGTTTTTTTTTCGGGCCGAATTTTTGAGTTTCGATATCTCAGCTCTGGAAGGGGCTAGAGCCTCCATTTTTGCACTCAGGTCTAAGTCTCATGGCCCTCTATCAGAATTTGGGAAGATTGGAGAAACTTAATTTTTCGCCCAAAAAAAAAACGTAAGGGGTACCACTGTCGTTTTTTTTTTCGGGCCGAATTTTTGAGTTTCGATATCTCAGCTCTGGAAGGGGCTAGAGCCTCCATTTTTGCACTCAGGTCTAAGTCTCATGGCCCTCTATCAGAATTTGGGAAGATTGGAGAAACTTAATTTTTCGCCCAAAAAAAAAAACGTAAGGGGTACCACTGTCGTTTTTTTTTTCGGGCCGAATTTTTGAGTTTCGATATCTCAGCTCTGGAAGGGGCTAGAGCCTCCATTTTTGCACTCAGGTCTAAGTCTCATGGCCCTCTATCAGAATTTGGGAAGATTGGAGAAACTTAATTTTTCGCCCCAAAAAAAAAACGTAAGGGGTACCACTGTCGTTTTTTTTTTCGGGCCGAATTTTTGAGTTTCGATATCTCAGCTCTGGAAGGGGCTAGAGCCTCCATTTTTGCACTCAGGTCTAAGTCTCATGGCCCTCTATCAGAATTTGGGAAGATTGGAGAAACTTAATTTTTCGCCCAAAAAAAAAAACGTAAGGGGTACCACTGTCGTTTTTTTTTCGGGCCGAATTTTTGAGTTTCGATATCTCAGCTCTGGAAGGGGCTAGAGCCTCCATTTTTGCACTCAGGTCTAAGTCTCATGGCCCTCTATCAGAATTTGGGAAGATTGGAGAAACTTAATTTTTCGCCCAAAAAAAAAAACGTAAGGGGTACCACTGTCGTTTTTTTTTCGGGCCGAATTTTTGAGTTTCGATATCTCAGCTCTGGAAGGGGCTAGAGCCTCCATTTTTGCACTCAGGTCTAAGTCTCATGGCCCTCTATCAGAATTTGGGAAGATTGGAGAAACTTAATTTTTCGCCCAAAAAAAAAAACGTAAGGGGTACCACTGTCGTTTTTTTTTCGGGCCGAATTTTTGAGTTTCGATATCTCAGCTCTGGAAGGGGCTAGAGCCTCCATTTTTGCACTCAGGTCTAAGTCTCATGGCCCTCTATCAGAATTTGGGAAGATTGGAGAAACTTAATTTTTCGCCCAAAAAAAAAAACGTAAGGGGTACCACTGTCGTTTTTTTTTCGGGCCGAATTTTTGAGTTTCGATATCTCAGCTCTGGAAGGGGCTAGAGCCTCCATTTTTGCACTCAGGTCTAAGTCTCATGGCCCTCTATCAGAATTTGGGAAGATTGGAGAAACTTAATTTTTCGCCCAAAAAAAAAAACGTAAGGGGTACCACTGTCGTTTTTTTTTCGGGCCGAATTTTTGAGTTTCGATATCTCAGCTCTGGAAGGGGCTAGAGCCTCCATTTTTGCACTCAGGTCTAAGTCTCATGGCCCTCTATCAGAATTTGGGAAGATTGGAGAAACTTAATTTTTCGCCCAAAAAAAAAAACGTAAGGGGTACCACTGTCGTTTTTTTTTTCGGGCCGAATTTTTGAGTTTCGATATCTCAGCTCTGGAAGGGGCTAGAGCCTCCATTTTTGCACTCAGGTCTAAGTCTCATGGCCCTCTATCAGAATTTGGGAAGATTGGAGAAACTTAATTTTTCGCCCAAAAAAAAAAAACGTAAGGGGTACCACTGTCGTTTTTTTTTCGGGCCGAATTTTTGAGTTTCGATATCTCAGCTCTGGAAGGGGCTAGAGCCTCCATTTTTGCACTCAGGTCTAAGTCTCATGGCCCTCTATCAGAATTTGGGAAGATTGGAGAAACTTAATTTTTCGCCCAAAAAAAAAACGTAAGGGGTACCACTGTCGTTTTTTTTTCGGGCCGAATTTTTGAGTTTCGATATCTCAGCTCTGGA